AATGTGATCTGACGCCCGCCCTTGCCCCGCACTTTCCGGAAACTAGTACCTCGGAGGTACTAGTTTTTTGCCGCGCATCTTCGGAGTGAAGCCTCGGGTGAGCCACGGGAGTGCCACGCTTCCCAGATGTGGTGGTGAGATCGCGCCCGGAAAATCCGCCTATCTTCCATCTCTCCAGCGTGCCTAACGCTCCGTGTGACTGGGGCTTTTGTTGCCTTTCTCACCTCAATAGGCTGCTGAATCGTCTTCGCTGAGGGCCTCTCTGAGGCAGAAGAGACTTGATGTTTGGGATCCATGGAGCCACACAGAACCTGGCCTGTGAAGGAGGGGTGTATTCTCTTTCTAGCAGCTTCTCACCCCTGGGAACTCCCTGAGCAGTACCACCCCTCAAGACAACAACAACCGGTCAACCCTCCTTCTGGGGGAAAGGAAGCCATTTTGAGCCAACTCCTCCAGCCCCCGGAGGCAGCCAGGCCACAGAGTTTCCATGCAGGAACCATCCAGTTCGGAGAAACTCCCCGGGAGACCCTCTCCCGGCTGAGCAAGGCAGTTCTGCAGTGGCTGCGTCCCCAGGAGCACAGCAAGGAGCAGATTGTGGACCTGGTCATCCTGGAGCAGTTCCTGTCTGTGCTACCGACCGACATGCAGGCCTGGGTGAGAGCCAAAGAGCCGGGCAGCAGCAAGGAGGCAGCTTACCTGGCGGAGGCCTGCCTGCAGGAGCAAGAACCTGCCAAGCCAGCTCAGGTAAAGAGCACAGGATGGAGGAAAGGCAATTGCCAAGTTTGGGGGTTTTCAAGGGATCCGGCGGCCAGATACCGTAGATGGAGAGGTCTATGACTTTTTGTTAGGATTGCTGACTGGTGTGGGGGGGGGGGAATCGGACAGCCCAACTTGCACCTCTGCCTTTAACAGCATCTTACCGTGCAAGAATCATCAGCTGCCTTTTTAAAGAGGGGATTGCTTGCTAAAGCCTGCACACTGAATTGGTATAGAAGACACAGGGTAGAAGCTGGCAACAAGAGTTGGCAACCTGACTCTGTGGGTGTCAGTGGCATTGCCTTGAGCCTTGGTGTCTGTGTAATGAAAACCCTGTATAATTTGGATTGGAAGTTCTGTAGAAAACCAGTTCAGCTTTAGACTGGAAGTGTTAGTAAGAGCTGCAAAGTACATACTAAGTTGCTGTAGTTATGTTAATGAGGGCTTAAACAGACACCGCATGTTCTTAGCCACTAACAGGTGTTAAACCGGTTAGCATAACTAGGTAGACTGTGTTATTATCACTGTTTGTAGCTGTTGTACAGGATTACTATGAACTTTTTTTTAGTTGTGCAGGAAAACGTGACAGGTGACTCCTCTTGCATTTTCAGCTCACAAATTTTCCTTGTGTGTTACATTTACCTATACGCATACTGATGTTTCATGTCATGCATCTGATGAAGGGGGGTCTAGCTTGCAGCTTGTGCTTCAATAAGTAATCTTTAAGGTGCCTCAAGACTCCTTCTTGTTTTAATATGTTCCTGTACTAACGTGTATTTTTAGCAGAAAATGATCACTTTTCTGGGGACACGACTTTATCTGGCCAGGTTGCTGTTAAAGGCAGAGGAGCAGGGAAAGAAAGTGATTCTAGAGGTGATCTGAAAATGTGAAGGGGTAGGTTCAGTCTGAAAGGAAGGTGCCTGATTCAGAATTTTGCACCGTAGAGTTGTGAATGGAGTTAATTCATTCCCCCTCTTAATCTAATTCCCCCTCTTCTTTCCAGCAGGGCTCCTGGGCTGCCAACAACTTCATGGATGGCAAAAATTCAGAGAACAAAACATTTTCTATCTCATATCTGCAGGTTGCGAAAAGCCTCTGAATTTCTGTTTTCTGTGCAGCTTTTCTGTGCATGATCTGCCCAGGGGTCATTTCGTAGTAAAAGAGCTAGGGGGACTCATTAGCATAACTCATTAGCATATGCCACACCCCCTGACATCACCGGAAGTGTGTCCTCCCCACAGCCGGCGGCGACCTCCAGCGGGCACCAGCAGGGAGCTCCAGGCCCCGCCTCCCGCACCTCACCCGGGGGGATGGCGTCCCCCCACGTCCCCCCCCCAAATGACCCCTGCCCTGGATCTGCCCCAAACGATCTGCCACAACATTCAGCTAGCTTATATCTGATCTAGGGAACCTTCAGTGTTCTTAGGGTTGCAAGGTCTGCCCTGACCACCAGCAGGGGAAGGGGGGTTGGGTTGCCAGATTCAGGGTGGGAAACTCCTGGAGATTTGGGGGTGGAGCCTGGAGATAACAGGGACCTCAGTGGGGCACAGTACCAGAGAGTCCACCCTCCAAAGCAGCCATTTTCTCCAGGGCGAACTGATCTCTGTAGTCTGGTGCTGAGCTGTAATTCTGGGGAATTCCCAGGTCCCACCTGGAGGCTGGCATCCCTAGTTGTTACGGAGAATTTGAATCACTTCCACCTCAGCCTTGAGCTCTTCATCACAAGGGTCAGGTCTAAGATGGTACCCAAGAAGACTGGTGCAGAGAAATGAACTTGGATAACTAGGACACGTCACGCCTGAGGGTCTCATTGGGTTGGCTTTCTTTCTGTCTCTTACAGCTGCCAATTACCTTTGAAGATGTGACTGTACCTTTCACTGAGAAAGAGTGGGCACTCCTAGAAGCCAGAGAAAAGGCTCTTTACTGGGAAATCATGCAGGACAATTATGACAATGTAGCCTCTCTGGGTAAGGATTCCTCTTTCAGATAGAATAAATTCTAGACCAGGAGCAACACCCAGGGTTGCCAGGTCTGGGTTGGAAAACACCTGGAGACTTTGGAGGTGGAGCCAGGAGAGGGCGGAGTTTGGGGAGGGGAGGGGCCTCAGCATGGCACAATGCCATAGAGTCCCCCCTTCAAAGCAGCCATTTTCTCCAGGGGAGCTGATCTCTGTCAGCTGGAGATCAGTTGTAAAAGCGGGAGGTCCCCAGGCCCCACCTGGAGGCTGGCAACCCTAGCAACACCAGTTGCATTTCACTTTGACCTGCTCTGGTTTCTGTTAGGGTTTTTTTTAAGTACAAGCTGTCAACCTCCTGTTTTTTTGTGAGTGCTCTTACAGACACTAGCTCTATTTAAAAAGAAAAAACAAGTCAAGATGTCCGTTAATAACCAGAAGCTGTCTGCACTGAAGCACCCTGTAGGGTCTCTAGGCCTTTCTGTGGCTCCTCAGAAACATGAATATGCTGGATTCCAGAGCGGTAACCGTGGCAGTCTGTTGCTGCATGCAAAGAGAGAACATTGTGGCAGCTAAAGGACGAAAAATGTCTGCCGGCATCTGCCTTTGTAAGCCAGAGGCCTTTCCATCAGATGCACAAAGTGCTATAGTCTGCGGGTGGAAGTATGTTGTTGTTGTTTTTTGCCACCAAGGCACAGCTGACTTGCGGAGACCCCTGGTGGGGTTTTCAAGACAAGAGAGATTCAGAGGTGGCTTGCCACTGCCTGCCTCTGCATCATGATCCTGGTATTCCTTGGAAGTCTCCCATCCGAATACTAGCCAGGGCCAATCCCACTTAGCTTCTGAGATCTCACGTGATCAGGCTAACCTGAGCTATCCAGGTCAGGGCCAGGTGGAAGTATACATACGTGCAAAAAGAAAGGGGGTGGGGGTATTGCAAAGAGTGGATAGAAGGTGCACCATTATTCTGCAATGGAGGCCAGACAAAAACAGGCCAGACTGACCTTGGGCCAGTTTACACCCTCTAACTCTGTGTCACTTCACAGGGTTGTTGTGAGGATAAAACGGAGAGCTCAGCCAATGTAAGCCACTTTGGGTACTGCTGGGAGGAAAGGCGAGATATAAATAAAGTGAGTTTTGTAGCTCACAACGGAAAGCAGTGTACACTATTCATCTTATTTTGCTGATTGCTCACCTGCTGGGAGTGATCCACACCCACTCTGAGTGGATCGTTTCTTCTCTGGACCGGAGCTTGTGTTCATTGTTGCTCGACAGGGTCACGGCACACATTTTGCCCTGGAAAGTGGAAACCTCCTTTTGTAATAACAACCCCCCTCCCATCTTTCTTCTCCTTGTACCTGTGTGCGTGTATGTGTGTATATCTGTAGCTTCCCACTAAGTGTCAACACTTTGTGTATCTGACCTAGTAGGTTTTTCTGCCCATGAAAGCTAATGTTAAGTTCTTTGGGCCCCGCGGTATTCTATGCTACTAAAAAGCCAGGAACTCCCCCCACATTCCTACAGAGCTTAGTTCACTTGTCTCCTTCCTGCCTCCCAGCGCTTGTCAGCATATGAAAGGAAAGGAGTCTCACCGTTGTGTTTCTGTTCCTCATGAATGAGCCAATGAGAGGAGGTTGTTGACCATCACAGAGGGGCCACTGGTCAGTTTGGCCAGATAAGTTTCCTTAGCTGCAGAACCAAAAGAGATCCTTCAAACAGCTCCTGGTACCAAAAATGGGCAGGGCCCTGAGGCCGGAGGGATAAAAGAGATGGTTTGCAAGAAAGAAATTAGTTTGCTGAGGAGGCTTTGATGCTGGGCTTGTTGTTTCCTTGTTTTGTTTTTTGCCATCAAGTCACAGCTGACTTGCAGTGACCTTATGGGGTTTTCAAGGCAAGGGTGTTCAGAGGTGGTGTTAGGCAAATTGCCTTGTTTCTTAAAATAAAGTGGGAAATATGAATATGAAATGGCCAATAGGCTTCAGTTATGGGACCAATAACCTGTGTATACGGGAGTCCAGTTTATCCAGATCCCAGAAATACATGCTGAGGCTAGATGTTCAAAGCAATGATTTCTTTACTAGAAGATTCTCACACATACAATATAAAAATCAAGCACCCACACACATAATACAGATCTAAGAATTCAGATAGAAAGGTACAGCGACAGTTGCATTAGCAGGAGGTATCGTTGATGGGGTGATACGTTACCTCTCTGACATAGCGAGGCAATCCTGCAGCGAAAAAGGGATAACACTAAAGGAAGGGGGATCGTGAGTTGACCAGCAATGCACGTGGAAGGCTCCAAACAGTGCTAAGAATGGAACCAGCAAGATAGGGTGGGGTTAGGAAGGTCAGAAGCTAGAGAGAGAGAGAGAGCAATGGGGTGTTGCTCACCTTTTATACCCTAAAATGACTTGAAGCTGATGCTTCATTAGTCACGTAGTCCCCAGGAAATGCTAGAAAAATCCAGATGTTAATGGGTCAGGAAAAAGGATTAATCGTTGGACAATTGCAATAATGGTTGGCTAATAGTGACACCTCAGAGGAAGACAAAGGAAAGAAAAGAATAGTAATGTTCCAGCCCCATTGCCAGTAGTTGGTCTTAACAATCCAATGGTTAACAGCTGCATTATCGGAATGGGCGGCAGGAGGACATGACTTCTTGTTAATCCCATCATGGAGTAAGTTTTTTTTATTTAGGCTGAATTGAAGTACATGCAACATCTGGTGATGTTAATAGGTAAGGGGGGGGAGGTGCATGATGGAAGAGAGACCTTTTTGATGGCATCTGTGCAGGAATGTCCAGGTTTCTTTTGCAGAGCATGGCTTCTCTTAGGGAACTGCTGCTGGTTTTGCGTATCTGCGGGTCAGTGAGGCTGTCTTGCCTTCTGGCATATGTCTGCAGAAGTGCAGGCACGAGAGGCATCGTGTATTCCATGGTCCACATCTGGCTTGGCACGCTGCTTCACAGCAAGGTTTCCCTTGGCTAGGCACATGCTTATAGTCCAGTAGAATGGTACTATCTCATGGCTACTGTTCAGTCCATTACCCTGACACACTTGTTTTCACAGTCCAGCTTTGCAGTCATAGTCCATAGCCTTTAGAGATGCTATGTAAGGCGGTTGCATGGCAACAGTGCTTTGCCATTGCCTGCCTCTGTGTAGCAACCCCGGTATTCCTTGATGGCCTCCCATCCAAGTAATGACCAGGGCCAACCCTGCTTAACTTCAGAGATCAGGCTCGCCTGGGCTATCCAGGTCTGGGCAGGCCTTGAAAGTGCCAAAAGACCAGGCATCCTACAGCCTTTATTGACAGGTTGCATTTTTTTACCCTGCCTGTTTTCAGTTTTTTGTTATTACAGTCTTCGACCAGTACAAATTCAATCAATTTGAAACAGAGCATTAAAAAAATTCCCAATGATAGCCTATCTGGTAGAACCAGGAAAGGCTTGTAATAACATAGAAGTTTAAAAGTTATAAAAATCTATAAAAGGGAGAAATAGAACTACCTTGTAAACCTTTTAAACCATTTAAAATTTCCCTATTAAAAAAGAGGAAGTTTTTTTTTAATTAAAAGATGTAGGTATGGCCTATTTGCCTTGCTTTTTGCGTTCCTTGTAGACCCAGGGTGCAGAACCTAGCCACCTGTCTTGTAATCTGATAATTCCTATCCGATAGCAGGTATTCGTTTAATTTTGTTTGGTCTACCAGGGAACCTTTTTAACAGCGGGCTGATAATTTCCTTTTGGCTCACCGAATGGAGAGAGCAATTAAAAAATATATGCTCCAGAGAATCTATTTCAGTCAGGGAACAGGTGCAAAGCCTGGACGTGCAGGGGATCCCTTTATAGTCTGTTGCCTACAGGAGGGACGGGAGCCTACGTTCTGCTGCCTTGTGCTGCCTTGGATTCAGGGCACCAAACAGTTGTGTTGACCGTGTGCTTGTCCACTGTAATTCGATACTTTCACCTGTGTAGAATTTGACTCTGTGCACACCAGAACTCAGCTTTCAAAACCCAGCCTCTGAACACACAGTGACCAATTCTGCAAAAGCAGTGGCTTTCAAAACCCAGCTTCTGAACATACAGCAGGTTTTTACACACAGTGACCAATTCTGCAAAAGCAGTTGTACCATCCTCGGTCTGCCATTTCCCCCGGTTGTACTGTTCAATTTCCCACTATTTGCTGCACGGCCACATTTTGACCCGCATTTCCCCTCAATTGCCCCCCCCCGGTCTTCTTGATCCTAAAAAATAAGGCTCAAGACATGGGGGAAATCAGGGGGAGATGCGGGTTGGGTCAAAATGCGGCCACACAGCAAATAGTGGGAAATTGAACCGTACAACCGGGGGAAATGGCAGAACAAGGGCAGAACAATTGCTTTTGCAGAATCGGTCACAGTCTTCTTTAATTATCACTACATATCTGTCTGCATGTGCAAAGTGTACAGTGAAGGCTAACTTGCACATGTCATGTATGGCGATCATTGACTGTTGCATTTAGTAACCAGTTTGTTGCAATACTGGATGAACTTATGGATCTCCATGCAGGTGATTAGCCCAGTGACAGCTCAAACCCAGTTCTTCTCCAGTGGAGAAGATGCACAGCAGACTGCCATCAAGGATACGGGCAATCAAGCGATGGATGTGTGTATGAACCAGGCTTATATGACCACAGCCAGTCACACACATCTTTGTTTGACCTCTTAACAGCTTTTTCCCCCTTAGAAATGGATCTCTGGGCTCAGGTTTTTGTTTTGCATTTTTCATGTGTGCACGTGTGTGTTTGCGCACGCGTGAGTGTATGTGTGCACCTGGAAGTTATGGTGACCTCTGGTGACTGACCCCTACTGGGGGACTGGAGGATATTCAGAGAGGTGGCTGAATAAAGCCTGCCCCTGCCCTCCCAACTGCTGGTATTCCAAGGAGGTCTCACATCCAAGTACTTGCCAGAGTCGGCCCTGCTTAGCTTCTGAGACTGAACTTGCCCAGGCTATCCAAGTCAGGGCTAATCTCTGGGCTTAGCGGAGATGTTTGGAAGTGTCTTCACTTCTCAGACACCATCTAGAGTTGCACCCTTCTATGCCCACTGAAGTCAATAGGTGTAGAAGGGTGTAACTCTGCTTAGGATGACACTGCCCGAGACTTACCTTTACTGGTGACTTTACAACCTTAAGCATACAACTCATAGATCTGAATATGTTTTTCCATCAGTAGCCACACGGTCTCTGTGACCAAAATGTTGCAATCTACAGTAAGTTCTCATGCTCTTTTTGCCTCAGGGTTTTTGAGACCAGAAACTGATGTGAGGTCACCAGAAGAATGGAAAAGGCAAGATACTTTCAAGTTTCAGCTCTCAGAAAAACGGATGCAAACAAAAATCAACTTTTCAGGTGAAAAGTCATTATGATTGCTCTAGCAAGGTCTTTCAATGATGGGAAATGGCACAAAGGTCTTGATCCAAGGAGGTGAGGTTGAACCTTAGAGCAAATGTCATAGGGCATGGTTAGAAGGTACAGCAGATTTGCTGAAGCTAAGTAGATCTGGATCTGGCCTTGGTGAGTTCCTTGACCTCCTAGGAATCCTATTGTAAAGTTGTCTTGAGTTCCAGTAATGGAGAAAAGCCAGAATATAAATGCAATAGATAAAAGAATGAAAAAGAGCCTGCCTGAATCACAGTCTTCTCCCATGGTTTTAAAGTTTTGGCACGTTCAAAACACCAGAAGACTCTAGCGGAAACTGTTATGGAAAAATGGTCCTTGCTAGCAAATTAAAACCTTGGACAGGCTCACACTGCTATACAAATAAATCTGGAAGTCTTAAGGCAGTAAACAAGAGGCAAAAACTCCCATAAAGGGATAAGATAAAATTCAAGCCATTAATTCTTCCTCACTGTCTTCATTACAAACAGAATCCCCACAACTTAAACTTGAGATGGCCTCCGAACGAAAAAGGAATCCAAGGTCATTGATCTTTGATCTCCGGGGCTGTGGAGAAAGGGAGATCCCAAATGACATCTGTTCAGGTAAGGAATCATGTGTACAGCCGCTTGGAATTATCTGCTCGGGTTGGTAAACTTGGAACATCCTGCAAGGAATGGCCTGGGCTGAACTACTTGGCCTTGCAGAGCTGGGAGAGGCATCCAGGACAACCATGCTGTTCTTCCCACTCAGATTAGGATCAAACTACCTGCTTGAGGTGGCAAGTAGAGGAGGTCCCGCCTCCTCCTCCTCCTCTCCTTGCCCCATTTGCTTGGGGTGTCACCTTCTCCTCCTTCTTTCTTACCTCTGCCCCAGCCCCTGTGCACTCATTCTTGACCCTCTCCTTATTAGTTCAGCTTTAGAGAGTACCTCCCCCCCATCAACCTGCAGTCTCCCACCATCTTTCCCTCCAGCACTGCCTTCTTCATCACTGAGGGTTCTGATCAGGTCTTAAGAGGTGTAGAGGTTGTTGCACCAGTTGGGAACAGTGACCACAATGCTATTAAGTTCAGCATTCAATGGAAAACAAATTTAGAGTCCAGTGGCACCTTGGTCTTAAAGGTGCCATTGGACTCTAAATTTGTTCTTCTGCTTCAGACCAACGTGGCTGACCAACTAGGTCAGTGGAAAGTTCCCCCTAAAGTCCAAAACTGTCACGTTTGATTTCAAAAGAGGGAACTTTACAAAAATGAGGGGAATAGTAAAAAGGAAGCTGAAGGGGAAACACAAGAGAGTCAAATCCCCCCAGAGGATGCCTGGAAGCTACTTAAAACCATATTAAGCCCAAATAGGATGAATTCCACAGGTTAGGAAGGGCACTGCCAAGGTTAAAAGAAGCCCTGCATAGTTAACAATGCAAGTCAAGGAAGTTATAAAGTGGAAGGTCTTCCCCAAGGAATTGAACAGAAGGGATCACAGACTCTGGCAAAAGAAATGTACATTAATAATTAGGCATGGAAAAAGAGATTTTGAGGAGTGAGTTGCTAAAAGCATCAAGAAAAACAATAAACATTTTTTTAACATGTATCTGAAACAGGAAACCGGCCAGAGAAGCAGTTGGGCCTTTGGATGACAAAGGACTAAAGGGGTTGCCCAAGGAAGATGTGGAGATGGCAGAGAAACTCGATGAATTTTTTGTTTCTCTGTTCACTGTAAAAAGTGACAGTGGGATATGTACCCGTGCCACAGCCCCTGTTTTCAGGGAGTTTGAAGAACTAAGCCAAATTGCGGTGAACAAAGATTAAGTTCTAGACTTGTTGGGGAAATTAAAAACCAAAAAGTCTCCAGGTCCTGATGGCATGCACCCGAGATGCTTACAGAACTCAAATGTGAGATAGTTGATCTACTAACCCGTATATGTAACCTATCACTAAATTCAGCTGCTGTACCAGAAGACTGGAGAGTAGCAAATGTTATGCCAATTTTTTTAAAAAGGGTCCAGATGTCAACCAAGAAATTACAGGCCAGTCAGCCTAACATCTGTCCCAGGCAAATTAATAGAAACTGTAATGAAAAAATAGAATTATTAGGTACACAGAGGGACAAAGCCTGCTGAGGGAAAATCAGCATGGCTTCTGCAAAGGGAAGTCCTGCCTCATCAACCTTTTGGGGTTCTTTGAGAAAGTGAACAAGCATGTAGACAATGATCCTGTAGACATTATACACTTGGACTTTCAAAAGCCTTTTGACAAAGTACTTCTCCAAAGACTCCTGAGTAAACTTAGCAGTCATTGGATAAGTAAGCAGATTCTCTTCTGGATCAAAAATTGGTTAGATGACGGGAAGCAAACAGAAGGGATCAGTGGACAGTCCTCCCAATGGAGGGAAGTCAGCAGTAGGGTCCCACAAGAACTGGTATCGGGGCCGGTACTACTGGTACTATTCAATTTATTCATAAATGATCTTGAAGGGTGAGCAGTGTAGTGGCCAAGTTTGCAGATGACACCAAATTGTTGAGGATGGTGAAAGCCAAGGCTGACTGTGAAGAGCTCCAAGAGGATCACCACAAAGTGGGTGAGTGGGTGACGATAGGGCAAATGAAGTTCAGTGCTGGTGAGGGTAAGGTGATGCACACTGGGACAAAATGTCCCAGCTTCAAGGAGAGGCTAATCGGGTCTGAACTTGCTGAGACTGAGAAGGGAAAAGATCACAGGGTTCTAGTGGATAGCTCCATGGAAGTGTCAACCCCGTGTGCTGCAGTGGTGAAAAAGGCTAACTCTATGTTAGGGATGATTAGGAAAGAGATTGAAAAGAAAACAGCCAATATTATAATGCCCCTGTATAGATCTATGGTGCAGCCCCATTTAGAATACTGTGTACAGTTCTGGTCACCGTGTCTCAAAAGAACATTGCAGAGCTGGAAACAGCACAGGGGAGGGCAACCAAGACACTTAGGGGTTTGGAGCACCTTCCTTATGGGGAAAGACTGAAGAGTCTGGGACTTTTCAGCTTAGAAAAGAGACACCTAAAAGGGGGGACATGATAGAGGTGTATAAAATCATGCATGAGATGGAGAGAGTTGACGAAGGGAACTTTTTCTCCCTCTCCCATAATACTACTTCTCTTGAGTGAATGGACTTAGTTTGGGTAGCAGCAGGGTATGGTGGAGGAATCGAGGGTGTATCCCACTCCCCACTGCTACCACAAGACTCTGTTGCATTATGCCTCGTATGTGATCACCTGCCAGTGTTAGTGACAACCTGGGCAGCCCCCATGGATCCCATTTTGAGAGCTACAGCCACTGAAGAAATGCAGAGAGCAAGTGCAACACCTGAATGATCTGGAAAACAGACTAGCGAGTGTCAGTTGATGTCAGATCTGATGTCAACATATAGGTCAGACGTTATTCTTTTTCATTACCTGCAGTTGTTGCTTCCTTTGTTTCTTGTTCTTTCATTCTACGATTATGTATTCTCCCTTTATTCCTGCAGAGAATAGTCCGTTTAAAGCAGAGAATTGCCCAGTTAAAGCAGAGAATAGTCCGATTAAAGAGAATCCAAAGAATAACTCCAAGCCCAAAATCCCTGACCTAGTGGAGAAACAAAGTATGTTTTCTGGCCTGTCAGAAGGGAACCCCAGGAAAGCAGAAGCCAGGGACAGTCAGCAGATGACACAGACCCTTGAGGAGAACTCCCTGCCTCAGCAAGATGAGATGCTTTTTGGCACAGGGTTGTTTTTCAAGGAGCCACCCCAGGTTGTGGCCGCTCTGAAAGGTGACCTCCAGGAGACCCATCACATCTGCACCGAATGCGGGAAAAGCTGTCGCTCATTTGCCGCGCTGACGAAGCATCACAGGGCCCACAAGGTGGAAAAATGCTACAAGTGCCCCGTCTGTGAAAAGAGGTTCAGTCGGAGCTCTAATCTCATCACTCACCAGAGGATCCACACGGGCCTAAAACCATTCCAGTGCACTGACTGCGAGAAAAGCTTCAATAACAAGTCAACCCTTGTTAAGCACCAGAGAACCCACACTGGGGAGAAACCCTACGTGTGCCTCGACTGCGGCAAAGGCTTTACGCAAAGCTCCAACCTGATTAAGCACCAGAGGATTCACACCGGGGTGAAGCCCTACAGGTGTCCTGACTGTGACAGAAGCTTCACTCAGAGTTCACATTTCATTGACCATCAGAGAATCCACACGGGCGAGAGACCCTACAAATGCCCCGACTGCGGGAAGGGTTTCAGCCTGTGCTCCAGTCTCATCATACATCACAGAATCCATACAGGAGAGAAACCGTTCGAATGTCCTGTCTGCGAAAAAAGTTTCAGCAGCAGGTCAACTCTTATTAACCACAGACGGGTCCACACTAGAAACAAACCTTATGAATGTGTTGACTGAGGGAAGACTTTCACTCAGAACTCCAGCCTAATTGCACACCAGAGAACCAATACTGGTGACAAATCCCATACATTTCCTCACTGTGCCAAATGCCTCACTCAGAGCTCAAGCGTCATCATCCACTGAAGGACATGCATGGGAGAGAGGCCATATCAGTGTTCCAACTGAAAGACATGCTGCAGTATAAAATCACATCTCCTTGGCCACCAGAATACCCATGATGGGGAGAGTTTGGTGCGAGAGCCGGTTTGGTGCAGTGGTTAAGTGTGCGGACTCTAATCTGGGAGAACCGGGTTTGATTCCCCACTCCTCCACTTGCACCTGCTGATGTGACCTTGGGTCAGTCACAAGCTCTAGCACAGCTGTCCTTGAAAAAGAGCAGTTTGTGTCAGAGTTCTCTCAGCCCCACCCGCCTCACAGGGTGTCTGTTGTGGGGAGGGGAAAGGAAAGGAGTTTGTAAGCCGCTCTGAGACTCCAAGTGAAGGGCGGGGTATAAATCCAATCTCTTCTTCTCTTCTTCTTCTTCTTTTCAGTGCTCCAGGTGTGGCTGAGGTTTCAACGCAAACTCCTGCCTTAAGCTGGATCAAAGATCTTGTTTAAGCAGAAATGGTAACCAACTCCATCCAGCACCTCTGGAAATCAGTCAATCCATGACATTGCAAGTGGGAGACTGACCCTTTCTTAGTTCCTGTCCATCAATTCCAAGTTAATTAAATCTGTATAAGAACCCAGTGTGGAATTTCCTTTATTCCCTTTCCAAATCCTTCCCACGCAGGAAGCCATCCTGAACGGCCAGTATGGCACTGAACCTTCCAGATCACAGCTCATTCTCTTCACCGCTAAGCTAGCAAAGAATCTTCACTAGTGGGCTGGACAATACAAGAGGAAGTGGTCCTTCAGGAGTTATATTTGTCATCTTTCTTGCTTGTTGTCCAAACTCTGGCAGTATTCAGGCCTGAACAGAGAATGGTTTACTGGTATATTAGTGTGCTCCATTCCTTGCTCTGATTTCGCAGCCCTCAAAGCTGTAAGCTATTTGGACTGCCCTGAATATCAAAGGCAAATGATGTAGTCATCTGATCTAGGGACTGGATTAGATTCCACAAATTTGTCTAACCCCGTTTAGAACAGAATACGTATTCTAAGTAAGAGCAAACAGAATCTATTTATATCCAGCTTGACTGGCGCTCAAGGTGGAAGAAGGTATCTTTACTTTTACTGCAAACATGTTCATTTTATTGACTGAGAGTTCCACGAGTCAGCTCTGATCACCTTCTGTGAGCACAAAACCTTCTCAGATGCTTTGATCTTATGCTGACTTTGTGGGAACTGCTGCAATGAGCTCCTTCCAAGGAGCCCCAGAGCAGGTGGGAAGAGCCCATGCTAGAACTCGAGCTCTTGACATGGGGGAACTTCCAGAGCAGTTCCCAACTCCAGCTCTAACAGTATTCAAGCAGCAAACCTTCAAGTTTTTTTATTTAGCACAGACTAAGTAGACCCTCGCCATTCACAAGGGATCCATTCCCATGAATGGGGAAACATGCAAAAATGGAAGGCCAGGTTCTGCTGCCTCTTGCTGCACCACACCCACTCTTGATTTATAGGGTCCAAGTTTGAGCCCTACGGAACTCAGCAAAAGGACAGGCAGGCCCTCTGGAGTTCCTGCCATGACTGTCGATAAAGCATTGAACGCTGAGTGCAACCAATACTCTTTTTCTGGTTTTTATAGAGTAACCTGCAATTCTCTTAGCGCCAGATTCTACAATTAGACTGTTGATCTGTAGACACATGAAAACGCACAGCTTGATCGTAGGCTTAAAAGATTACTGCACAATAGTGCTCAATTAAGTGATGGTTTCCAGTTTGATTAAGGATACTGAATAGCTTCAGGATTTTGGAGGGGGGTGGTTCTGTTGTGTATGGTTTATACGGCTGTTAAGACTTAATACGTTTATGCATTATACTTCATTTCTACATAAGCAAACATATGTTGTATATGGAACTTTTCTTATTGTATAAATAAAGGGATTTATTTGTAATGATTCAGTGGCTGTTCACAGGACTCCATGCCACTGCTAACTGAAAAAGCACTAACTGCCGGTATGGAATGGCATTTTTTTTTTGCAAAATTGGCCCCTTTCTCAACAGTCTCTTAACATCCCGTCCATCTCCCAAGTAGCTAAACACCTTAAGCTGGTGACTTCAGAGACCTGTTCAAAATGTACAGTGCTGTACAGTGCCTCGTTTATTATGCTGTTTTTCCAACAGTCACCTCCAAAAATGCTTACATCAGTAAGGAGAGAAAGAGGTCCTGCCCTCAGGTATAAAGTCAAAAACAAAAAGGGGCATTGATGGAAATGGTAGGGGAGAGAGATCAAGGTTGACAATTAGAGTTTATACACACAAGGCCAGATCACGATGGTAGTCTTGCTTGGGTGTAATTGATGAGATTGTGGCCAGTTTTTTTCCTTCCACTCCTGCAACTCCCAGGACAACTGGCCAATGGAGCACAGTACTTATGGGCAAAGAGTGGAGCCACAGCTACTCCTTCTCTGGCCAGTGGCTGACACACACACCCTTCCTGGGCAGGGGGAACAATGTGTAAACACTCAGTGGTCCTTCCTTATGTTGGACAACGGCTGAGGGCCCTTTTCCTTTGTCTCATGTGCAGTGCTCATGTCTCTATTTTCTTGCAGTCCCTAGATCTTGGAGCTTCTGGGTCCAGCAGCCTCTCCTTATCCATCCCATTGGGATCTGTGGCTTGTTGAGAATTCCCCTCTCCTCATCACCAGTTGCCTGTCTCCTGGAAATGATGGCTCCTAGTCCCTAAGTGAAACTGAAATCAAGTAGCACCTTTAAGACTGGTAAATAGCATCCCATTAAGCTTCTGTTAAAAGGGCAGGACAACTATTTCTTCAGGCTGCTGGCAACCCTATGGAGCCTATCTAGTCTCTTAAAGTCCATTTAAATAGCTGGACCTGTCAGCGTAGCTCTTTCATAGACTTTTATCTAGCAGAAAGGTCATAATTCATCTGCCTTCATTCAGTCCCCAGCATCTCAGGCCCATAGCCAGGATTTTTTTTAAATCGGGGGGAGGGGGCATTTAAATTTCCTGGGGGGCACTGGCTAATCAAATTAATCTGGGGGAGAAGACCGTGATGTCCTGGGCTGGATGGGAAGTCAGGGGGCAATGCCAGCAAGTGGGGGGGGGCTAGCCCCAAGATGCCCCACTGAAGCTACGGGCCTGCAGCATCTTCAGTTAAAAGGATCGAGCAGTTGGTGATGGGAAAGGCCTCTACCATGGGGAAGCCACAGCCAGTCAGGGGTAGAGAGCATACTGGCTTTGATAGACAAAGGGTCTGGGTCAACATAAGGCAGCTTCAGGTGTTCTTTGTGTATCTCTAGAATACATGATATAACCGTTTCTTGTAACCCGTGCCTGTAAGACATGGGGCCCTTATTAGTGTTGTGGCAATTCTAGGAACCTTTTCAGCTTTGCCAATAACCTTGAACTATTGTTGCTCCAGATGGTCTGCCCTGGTTTGGGTAGGGTGGTGTTGTTTTTTCTGATGAGGATTCAAAACTGTGTAACAGTTACAGACAGAAACTTAACAGTTCAAAGTTATGTCCACCACAGTACCTCGGGAGAAGCTGTAACTGGAATTGTTGAACAGTGTTAGGCAGTTAGTTAAAGGCACAGGAGCCTTGCCAGAAAAGAAAGTGGCGGCTTTTCTACTGCCACATTTTCATCCTTTGTATTCAAAGGCCCAGGAACAGCTTTTGGGATATTAGTACTATTAGTCGCGAAGAGTCGGACTCGACTGTGCGACTGAACAACAACAACAACTATTAGTTTTATTTTCCAGCTGCGCCCTCAGGGAAATCTGGGGTTCCTTCAAAACCTTAGCAGAACTTTCTTAATGAGAAGATTAGTAATGATGAAAGACCGCAGGACCATCCCAATCAGTGTTCCCCTTGAGCATGCAAGGGGCATGTGTATATTGGCCATGTTCTGTGCTGTCGTCCCAATTCATGTAAGTGTATCAAGTGTGACAAAGGATTTTATGACTTCACGGTGCTTACAAACATTTGTAAACCACCTTGAGCATGCTGCTGGAGAGGGAGCATTAAAATTTCTTCAATAAATAAGTGCCCTGCTTTGATTAATCTGGTCCTCTTAAGTAGAAGATGAAGAGGTAAAAGCCTTTCTGGACTGTTCCACTTCACGACTCTTGGGGGGGGGCTTCCCCTCATTGAGTGCTCCTCCACGCCAAACACTTCAATCTAGATCTGCAAGTTTCATGTGGGATGGGAGGGTTGCCAGCCTCTGGGTGGGGCCTGGAGCTTTCCCAGAGTTACAACTGATCTCCAGACAATAGAGATCAGTTCCCCCTGGAGAAAATTGCTGTTTTGGAGGGTGGTTGTGGTGATGGTTGTTCAGTCGCACAGTCGAGTCCGACTCTTCGCGACCCCATGGACCAGATCACGCCAGGCCTTCCTGTCTTCCGCCGTCCTCTGAAGTTTGCTCAATTTCATGTTCGTTGCATCTATGACACTGTCTAACCATCTCTTCCTTTGCCGTCCCCGTCTTCTTTGGCCTTCAATCTTTCCCAGCATCAGGGTCTTCTCCAGTGAGTGCTCCCTTCTCATTTGGTGGCCAAAGTATTTGAGCTTCAGCTTCAGTATCTGGCCTTCCAGGGAACAGTCAGGGTTGATTTCTTTTAGGATTGACTGATCTTCTTGCAGTCCAAGGGACTCTCAAGAGTCTTCTCCAGCACCATAGTTCAAAAGCATCTATTCTTCAGCGCTCAGCCTTCCTTATGGTCCAACTCTCGCAGCCATACATGACTACTGGGAATACCATTGCTTTGACTGTACTGACTTTTGTTGGCAGGGTGACGTCTCTACTTTTTATTACACTGTCTAGGTTTGCCATCGCTTTCCTCCCAAGGAACAGGTGTCTTTTAATTTCATGGCTGCTGTCACCATCTGCAGGTCCACCATTTGGCGGGTGGACTGTGGTATTATATACCAATTAGGTCCCTCCCCTCCTCAAACTCTTCCCTCCCCTAGGCTCCAGCCCCCAAAACTCCAGGAATTTCCCAACCCAGAGTTGGCAACCCCAGAGAGAAAGACCAGAAACACTGCCGTTTGTGTAAGCAGCCCCGAGTTCGTGCCTCAGTCTGCACGTGTCCCAGTCTATTCTAGTGGAAAGGATGACCCAAAGGAAAAAAAATTGAAAAACACCACCTCCTGAAACGACCTCACTTTTTAAAATCAAATTGCGCTGTGATGCAGAGAACAGGCGTCGTTCGCCGCGACCACCAGAGGGCTCTGGCTATTGCTTAAGGGATCCCTTCCCCTCTGAAGCTCTCTTCCTCCCACCCAGGATATCGGGGGGCTGAGCTTCCTAGGTCACCCGGGGTGTTTGCAGCCGCGGGGGGAGGTGTGTGGATTCCGCAGTGGCTTGGGAGCCGCGGCTGCTCCTCCTGTCGGAGTCTCTGCCCGGAAGAGCATTTCCCTGATGAGGGACCGACCGAAGTGAGAACTGTTTCTGACTGCCTCAGGCTCTCGGGGTAGCCGAAGGCGCTGCAGCCTTTAACCCTTCAGCAGCCAGCGACTCCAGGTAATTCAGGAAAGAGCCGAGCCTGGGCTGTTATGGTCGAGAGAGAGAGGGAAGTTGGAAAAGGCTCCATTTTCGCCTTCTTTCCAAGCCGGGGCGCCTGGGGCCTCAGGTGCTTGTGTTTACAAAGCACAGAAAAGAGCAAGTAGCGCCTTAAAGACTAATGTTGTGGCAGGGTGTGAGTTTTCCCGAGTCATCGTCCACTTCTTCAGACCTCTTCACAGCAGAGTGACTCAGGAAAGCTCATCCCCTGCCACAAAATTTGTTATTCTTTAAGGTGCTACTGGACTTTTGCTCTTTTCTGCTGCTACAGACAGACTTACAGGGCTACCCATCTTGATCTACAACACAGAAAGATTGCCACTCCTACTAATTTGGGATTACTGAGAACAAAGGCGCTTGGAATTGATGCACCTGTGAATTATGCATGGGAAATTTAAAAGCAGAGGGGTAGCTATGTTAGTCTGTTGGAGCAAAAAATAATAAGCAGGAATCTAGTGGCACCTTTGATTCCAACATAAACTTTCTTCAGAGAAGAGGGCTCCACTTCACACAAGCTTTGAGTTAATAAAATGGAATGGAATAAAATGCTGTTAGTCTTTAAGGTGCCACAAGAATCCTGTTTTACGAAAAAACCAGAACTGCTGTTTAAAACAACCACTGATAATGATTTCCTGGAGATTAACCCATTTGCTAGTACTAGTCTCCTGTCAGGTGTTCTCAAGCCTGTAGGTACACATGGGAGGAGAGATTGTGTATTATGGCTTTAATGAGCCGAGCACCAGCAGAAAAAGCTGTTGCCCCACTCAAGTGTTCAGATGTCTAAACATCACCATTTTTCATCACACACCAGCTGGATGAAAAACTATAAATAAATACATTCAGAGTTAGGTGGATAGCCGCATTGGTCTGAACCTTTAAGACCAACAAAGTTTAATTCTGCGTATAAGCTTTTGTGTGCATCTGAAGAAGTGTGCATGCACATCAAAGCTTACACCCAGAATTAAATTTTGTTGGTCTTAAAGGGGCCACTGGACTCAAACTTTGTTCTACAATCAGAGTTAATGGTGGCATTTCTAAGTGGGATGCTACCTTCCCCCCCCCCCCGAGCTTTGTGCCTTTTAGCACTGGCAAAAACCCAACAGTTCTGCATTTCTCCTTCCCCCCCCATACACACACACTCATCTCTTTCCCAGAAAAACTTTCCCCATTGAATTTCTGTCTGCCATACAGTAGTTTGCCCTGACTAGGATGGTGCAGACTAGACCAATCTCATCAGATCTTGGAAGCTAAGCAAGGAGTGCCCTGGCTAGAATTTGGATGGGAGACTACCAAGGAATTCCGGGGCCACTATGCAGAGGCAGGCAATGGCAGACCACCTCTGAATGTCTCTTGCCTTGAAAACCCTACAGGGTCTCCATACATCAGCTGTGACTTGATGGCAACAAAAAAAGTACAGTGATTCAGTACACAAGATTTCTGCAGGGGGAAGGATTATAGTCCTAATGATGACGAAGGGCCTAACAGGTGCAGCTGTTGTGTGTTATGGAGCCACAATAAGGGACACCCTGGGAAGAAAATATAGGTACATTTGCACAAGTGTTTTATTTTCCCTGCCCCAGATGCATCACTCTTCTCTCAAACGAGGCACCTAATCGTCAAATTCATCCAATCCATAAAATAACCATTGGTTTACTGTTGGAAATGCTTGAGCTCTGTACCTGGAATTTGGCCAATCATACTGTAACTTCTTGTTCCAGAGGTGTTGACCTAGAGAACCGCAGCTGGTGGTGGTGGTTGCAATGGAACAATATGTGCTCTTGGACCCACGGCAGAGGGCCTTGTACCGGGATGTCATGCAGGAGAGCTATGAGACGCTGATGGCACTGGGTAGGGATCCATTTCCTTTCTGGGATTAGAAGGCCCAAGAAGCCCAAGGTGGATTTGTTGCCCCCCAAAAAACTTGGAAGGGAGAGCCCCTGAGAACTTCCCAGTGTCCCTTCCCAAGTAGGAGAAATGAATTTCATTTTCCATCAGGGTTTTTATCCCACCCTTCCTTCTCAAGAGCTCAAGCAGGTATCCATGGTTCTCTTGTTCCCCATTTTATCCCCCACAACAACCCCAGCTAAGAAGTGGTGACTGGGTGGAAGTTGCCCCCACAGGCTTCGTGTTTGAGCGGGGATTGGATCCTGGATCCCCTCATTGCTAAAGGAATGTGCAGAAAAGTCTGTCTTTTAGTGTAGCTATTGCTGAAGGCCCAGAAAATGAGAACGGCTGAGTTAATATGGCAAAGACTTACTTGACACTGAGGTTTTTTGCTGGTTTGTATGAGTTTGCAAACTTTCAAGTGATCATTTCCCAGACCATAGCTCCTGAGGTATAAGTAGCACTCCACTCAGTCCCATGTCATCTGGCTAAGTCTCTATTCTCTTTTTGTATGGCAGCACACTGACATCTCTACAGGTAGGTGTTGCCTTTTTCCCCTCCAGGCCTTGCCTCCTTCTGCTCTAGCATCTCCAGATGAAGGATCTGGGACTTCCCTAGAGGAGACATGGCAGATCCACAGCTGGGTCCTTTCCGTTTTCTCAGAAGGGGTTTAAAGCTGCTAGAGGGGCACCTATCTGTATTGGGATAATGGCACCTGGAGTGAGGAGTTATCTTCCCACACACATTTGCGCCAGGGCTCTGGTCCAAATTTTAACCCCCAGCAGCTGTGTTTTTGAGAGAACTGAAGTTGTCAGAGATGTATTCTT